AGGCATAGATAACTATTTTCTAATGTTTCTCTTAATTTTTTCTAGTCAAAGGCTTTTATTGTTGCATATTATTTTTTCTCCCTTCCCATCTCCCTCAATTACAACTTCAGGCATGTTATCATGAGGAGCTATTCCTTGGAGAGGGACATGATGCTCGGGAAGGAAAGGGTCAGCAAAGGAGAGGAAGACCCTTGACCAGGTGTATTGACACTGACTGCTGCAATGGGCTCTAGTTTTCAGCAAGTGTGAGGATGGTGCAAGATAGAACAGGGTTCAGATCTGTTCATAGGGTTGCTATCCGTTCTACTTGACTTGATGGGACCTAATAACCCCACATCCCCCGTTCCCCTTGTAAGACTATTAATTGTCGTACACATGGTTTCTAAATTGTCCATTCCTTTCAGAATGTCCTTTAAACTCATTGCAATGCAGTATTCATTATATCAATTTGGAAAAGTTCTTGACAATATATTTTCCCAATGCAGCACAACTTTTGATTTCTTGGCTTCTGTTAACATGGATATTGATTGTGGATCCAAATTAAATAATTGACAACTTCAGTCTACACTCCCATCTATCCTGAAGTTGCCTTTTGGTCTAGGGTGAGGATTTGTTTTCTTGATGTTGAGATGTAATTATTACTAAATGCTTTTATCTTCTATGGTAAGTGCTACATATCTTTAAGATTTTCTGCAAGCAAGATTGTATTATCTATATAATGCAAGTTGTTGATGAATCTTCCTGCAGTGCCATATTTTGCTTCATATAGTCCAACATCTTGAAATATTTCTTCAGCATGCAGATTAAGTAGGTTTGGAAAAAAGATACAACCTTCATGCACACCTTTCCTGATTTTAAACAATGAGATATTCCCATGTTTTGTTCAGTCAACAGCCTCTTGGTCTAGGTTTCACATGAGACAATTAAAAGTTCCAGGCTTGACATTCTTCCTAATTTTAGCCATAATTTGTTATGAGTCACAATCAAATGGCTTTGAATAGGCAGTAATGCACAAATAAACAAACATCTTTCTGGTATTTTTCAGTCATGATCCATGTGACATCACCAATGATATTCCTTGTAGTTCCGTCTAAGTGTACTGTTCTAGATACTTTAAAATAAGTTTTAATATGCCAAGCAAGATTTTACATGCATGTAATTATTAATGATATTGTTTGATCATTTCTACAATCTGTTGAACCTCTTTTTTTTGGAATCGGAACAAATAAGGATCTCTTCTAGTTGGTTGTCCAGGTCGCTGTTTTCCTAATTTATTGGCATAGGCTAGTGAGCACAGGGCTGTATCCTGTCTCCATACCTTTTCAATCTTTATGCAGAACAGGTTATCCGGGATGCTGGGCTCTTTGAGGAGAAATATGGTATCAAGATTGGAGGAAGAATCATCAACAATCTGCATCATGAAGATGACACAACCCTGCTTGCTGAAACTGAGGAGGACCTGAAGCACTTGCTGTGGAAGGTCAGGGACTGCAGTCTTCAGTATGGACTGAGAATCAT